TTCTTTTGGACTGAAATTTGCTGGTCTGGTCTGATCTGATTTGGTATCGTCTGGTCTAGTCTGATAAACGTTTGGTCTGAGTGTATTTTACAACTACGAAAGTCCGGTCTGATCCGGTCTGATCTGATCTGATCTGGGACTGAAAACAGTTCAAAAGAAAACATCATTAAAGGATTAATGCTGGTAAGTACTAATTAAATGTATGTGGGTACTTATGATTTACATCTTCTAATTACTTAAATATGATTCATATGATTAAGTCTGAATTTTGAATTTTTATATTTCTGTATGTAATAATACCAATTAGTATGTACTCCGTATTTATTAAATATAATTACTTTAAATTTCCATATGTATTATTCGGATAAAGCATGTACTTATTAAAAAAAAGTAATATGTGGGAAAAAGAAAGTTTTTGTTAATTTGCCTTTTATTAATGCCTTCTTTTACGTCTCATGCAGGGGAGGAATCGAAATAATATTTGAGGGGCTAAGAATTTCAAATAAGGATAATTTTAATTGGATTGAAATTTTCTGATACGATCTAGTCTGGTTTGATCTGTTTAAAATTGACATGATCTGATCTTGTAGATGTCTGATCTATTTATATTTTCTACTGTCAAAGTGTGATTTTTTCTGCTTAAGTCTAGTCTGATCAGTTCTAATTTGGAACTACAACTAGTTCATGTAAAATATCCTAATTACTTCGTCACCTCGTTTAGAAGACTTACCATAACATTTTACAAAGGGAAAAATTGAAACTAATAATATAATCTTTTAGAGGTCTTATTACAATAGTCCTATCTTTTCGTTACTAAAAAATAATCCAACCTTTGCGTCTAGTGATGGACCCGGGCCGGGCTCCGTTTCGGGCCTGGGCCTGGTCGGGCTTTTTTGGGAAGGAAGATCCGGAACCGGCCCGGGTAGGCAGCGGTTCCGGGCCAAGCCGGTTCATGTTATTTTTTTATTTTCTTTTGCTTTTCTAATTTACCCCCTCACCCCCACCCCCAACCCCCCCCCCCCCCCAAAACACCCAGACCAACCCGGGAGAAACCAAAAAAATTGAGAGAGAAAAAAATAGGTCGGGCCAGTTCCACTTTTAGGAGGCCCGAGCCCGCCCCGTTTAATTCCCGGTTCGGGTGGCCCGGACCGGTCCTATGACCGGGTACCGGGCCCAAACAGTGCCGGTTCCGGGCCGGGCGGCCCGACCCGAGTCGGGCCATCTTCATTTGTTGGTCCCTGTCCGGTTGATGACCTGCTATTTCAAGTTATTTTCTTATCTTTGTAAAATATTATACCATAAATCCCACCTTATGATCACATAATGTTTTGCAAAGATAAGAAAATAACTTGTAATAGCAGGTCATGAATCGGTCAAGGACCATTGAATGAAGATGAGGTGCAAAGGTTAGATTATTCCTGAATAATGAAAAAGTGATACTATTGTAAGAAAACCAAATGTTGAATTATTAGTTTCCATTTCCCTTTTACTAATTGTAACATGGAATTAAGTGTATAACATAGGCAATCTAGCGAATTTTAAATCACAAGTTCGAAATGATAAAATTGTCAAATCTTAAATTCACATATCACAGTACTACGTATTTGTTGTGAATAATAGTCATTTTTACTAGCCCAAGTAAAATCAAGAAATAACTAAGCTACTACCTCCGTCCCATTTATATTGGGACCGAAGAGTGTGGCAGGTTATTAGGAAAAGTTAGTTTGTGTGGTTGATATTAATTGATAAATTAAGAATAGAGTAAGAATTATTTAGAGCCACACAAACTTTGCCAAATATGGTATGAGACAATTTAAGTGGGACTTCTCGAAAAGGTAAAACGGGACAATATAAATGGGACGAAGAGAGTAATAAATTTACCAAGTAAATCTGTAAATCAGTAAACAAATTAAAAATTATTAAAATAAATTTAAAGTAAAAAAGTTATCCAACTAAATCAAGAAATGAAATACCAAGTACTTGAGTAAACAAGACACACACTAACACAATCTTTATTGCCAAAAGCCTGAAGTAAATTAACAATTCAGTAAAGGGAAAAAAATACTTCGTTAACACTTTTTTTTGTTAACTACCGTAAGTAATGGATTTACTTTTCTACTCATTTTGGAGAAAAATGCGGACTAAGAGGTGTAGACGTGTAGTGCACCGATAGTGCACCGATGGATTTAAAAAAAGGCTATCTAATTAATTGTTGTCAATTCATAATATTAACTTAAACACACATATTTAATTATATACATACACCCAATTTTCTCTTCAGTAAAATTGAAATTATACTTTGAATTGAAAAAAACTCGATGCTCCCTTCGTGAATGGCGTGGCTGAATTGCTGAATCGAGCAGGCCGCAACTCGCACGGGAGAAAGCAATTTAGTTCTTCTACATTGTAATAATGCCAAATATTGACTCTTACTAAATTCCTCTCTTAAGCTTCGGAGCCCAATTAGCAAATTAGGTCTGCCCGTTTACCCGTTTAGTACTCCATATATCACTTAACCAAACGATGCCTTTTGGATTAAGTCAATAATAATAATCAGCTGAAAACAATAGAGGTACAGAGCATCGCAGTAGGGCAAAGTCGCAAAACATCAGAGGAAAATGGGAGAGGAAGACAGAAGCCTAGTTAGTTTTTTTGCGTTTTAAAAGCGTTTTAAACAGATACTGTTTTTTGAACAAAAAACATGTGTAAAACAAAAAAACAATGTTGGTCCATTTTAAAAGGAAAAAAACTCTTGCTTTCTGAAAAAATAATGTCGCCCACCCCCGGTTCCACCCCTGGTCAGACATCAGGTTTCTCTTGTTGTGTAGACCATTACACTCCAAGCATGGAGGAAAAGAACCAAATAAGTAACGGAGCCATAGCTGTGTTGAGTTTTGTTTCTAAAAGTCAGATAATGGATTAAGGCATACACAATAGAACGGAGCTCTGCAAGATATTCAGCTCAATTAACTAGCTAAAACATTGGGTAATCCATGCAATTCCACCCCATAAAAGGATAAATGACCATCAAAGCCAAACTAATTGAGGAATGAATAAGCAAGTGAACATGGAGCTATCTCTACTCTCTATCCAAGTTCATACACCAGAAATGAATAAGCTAAAGTCCATATTAAAGGAATTCTGCACCATCTGTATAGAACTCTGGTGGAGTTTGATAAACACTATGCAATGTAATGTAACTAAGTTCATGTGTATGTAAAATCGCACTAAGCTAAAGTTTAATATGTCGTAATGGAATATAAAAATACACTAAAAACATACTCCGTATTTGATTACTACTTTTCTGTTTATCAAGTGTTACCAGATTGAAGGAGAATGATGGATAAATTCAGGGCCGGCTCTAGGATCTAAGAGGCCCTAGGCGAAAAAACACTTTGATCTTAGGAAATCATATTAACATTTATTTATTATAACATAAAATTTGAAAACTGGAATAAATTGAATGCAAACATTCCATATAAGAACCAAACCATATAATTTATAGAAAATATGCCATGTAGTGTGAACATCAAAATAATAATGTTTCAAATGTAAACCTATAAAAATCCACCAAAATTATACTTGCATATAATTCTCAACATAGAGTCGAGATTCAAGTTTACCTGTCATGAAAATACTTACATATAAATAATAATAGAAAAATTACAAGCAATTGAGTTAACAAAAACCAAAGACTAGAAAGTCCAAACAAAAAAATTACTCCCTCCGTCCCTGAATGTTCTTCCGATTGCGGATTACGAAGGTTGACCGACAATAAAGTTAAATGATCCCTGTGAAAACTCGGATTATTTTTAGTAAATAAAATTTACATATTCAGAAACTACATTAAACCCGCTACAAAGCCTGCACAAAAAAAATCAATTTTCATAAAGTTTTGATACAAAAAGTAAGAGTTTAAGAGTGATTTAAGTTGACTCTCGAAAAGCGAAATGGAAGTAAATTTAGGGACAGAGGGAGTAATAAATAAATTATAAATTAATAGTGATAAATACTACCTCAATCCCGGTGGAGAGAGAACCGCGAAGAACCACAAATTAGTTGCTGTAATAAGAAGATGGCAAAGTTTTTTGGGACAACAAAAAATGGAAGGTTGGCAAAGTCCAATAGGACGGAGGGAGTAGTAAATAAGGAGTGTAAACTAATACTACTATTATTATTAGTTTGAGTAAGGTGATTTCTATTAAAAAAATCAATTCAAATATTCAATTGGCATTTAGACAATACACAATTCAAAACTCAAAACAATCATTGAGATAAGACCATAAGGCCGTAATTTAATCTAAATACAAATGGATGAAGCCGCCGTTCGGGTAGTCAGTGTTCAGACTTCAGGAGTTCCGCCTTCCGTGCTTTCGTGTCGGTGTTCGTCGTCAGTCGCCGGAATCATCATAGTCTCTGAGCGATTTGAGTCTCACAACAGGGATCCGTCCTCTGGGGATTGTGGGGAATCATCGAATTTGAGTTAGGGAGGGACAGGGACTTCTTCGGAGGTTTTGAGTTGCTGTGTATTGCTGGAGATCGATGGGAGTTTAGGAATCTGCTGCCAATTTTCAATTCCAATTATTCAATGTTACTACAATTTATTTTTCATACGGAGTATTTCTCATACTTCTTGTCTTCTTACTCCTATTATTTGAGGCCCTCCTCCCGTATGAGGCCCTAGGCAAACGCCTGGGTTGACTGCCCTCAAAGCCGGCTCTGGTCATAAATTATCTAGAGTAAAATAAAAGTGATCAGTTAGTCAGAACATTATAGTAGTATGGTGCCTGTTAGTACTTCTTCGACTACGCATGACAATGCCTCACCCTATGACCCTTCGGAGGGAGGGGGTGGCCAGGCTGGGCCCTGGCCCAGGGTAATTTTTTCTTTGTTTATATATAGTTTTTAAATTTTTTCTGTAATTGGCCCAGTGCAAAAGAAAACGGCCCAGTGCAGAATCCTTCTGGCCCAGTGTGAACAACGGTCCAGACGTCCAGTGCTATTCTAATTGCGTAAAGAAAAGAATCGCAGGCTGCGCAGAAGTGGGTGGACATCCGCATACGAACTCAACTCTCAAGGTATTATTCACGCCCTCTCCGCCGTTCTCATTACTGGAGGCCGGACGCTCACCCTCTGCTGCTCGCCCTCGCCGGCTGCTCTCTCGGCGGAATACTAAGTTGGAGTTGAACTTGCAGTCTCGACGTCTCCTCACAGCCAAGCTGCCAATTGCCAAGGTAAGGGTTTCAACTTCCCTTTTTTGTTTTTACCATTTTTATTTTCATTTAAGTATTTTATTTTTTATTTTATTTTGTGTAATTGTGTTAGTGATTTATTGTGTCACAATTGATTTATGTGCTTTAAATTGTGAAATGAAGATTTAGGAATGTCAAATGCTGAATTTATTAAAATATTAATATGAATTATATGAATTAAAATAAAATATTGATTAGTTTTTTATATTTTTGCTAATTTTAATAGGTATTGCTACTCAATCTACTTCCAAAAAGGCAAAAATCACACCGCGTTCGTTTTATAAGCCTAGTACAAGCATACCAAATACACAAGAGTTAAATGTCTCAATTGAAACTCCTAATATCTCATTTGCTCAAGAGGAAGTAGTTTCTGATGCACTTGTAATTGAGTGTGATCCGAGGAAACGGAAAACGATATGTGACTGACCGTTAGAGAAAAGGGATGAAATTAGACGATCTTATTTGATTCTTAGACCTTATCATCCGAAACTTAACTTTTATAAAGGCCGAGAATACAAAGATAAGATACTTCGTTTTCAAGCCACTTGGTTCAATGATTTTAATCATTATGTTCACACTACAGTCATTTTTAAAATTTTTATATAATGTTTTTAGCGTAAAGTCGACCCAGGGTAGACATCCGTCCTGACTACGCCCCTGCCTTCGGTCCCACTTGGACTTCAGGACAATATCCGCATGTTTGAGCAGCGTACTTCTACATTAGCTGTATAGCTCCCGTTCATGTGTCCTCCCACACTTCCATTCCTCTGGCTGAACATCCTGCAATAAACTTTTGAAATATTAGCCTAAAACTGGTGTGTGTGTGTGTTAACAACTTTCTGCAGACTAACCATTGTCTGCAGACTTTTAAGCGGGTTGGGAATTCAAACCAAAAGTCGAAAGCAGTGAGAAAGGAAAACAAAAATGCAAATTATTAATTACTAATAAGATTATCTTTACAAATACTGATTGATAACATCAACAAAAACACACAAAAGGCAGAATAACCAAAGAGAAGTAGCAGAATGGCCAGTTACATAGTGAGCTGTACCCGTCAACGTTGTATTTCGCAGGTCAAGAATTTGAGGGCCTCATCGAACAAAGTATCATCAAACAGTGAAACCTCCTCTTCTCTGTAATCTAGATGTTCTTCTGCACATAATGATTTAATCCGGTTGTCGTCCCCAAATGCCACAAGGATAGGCTTAAGCCAAAGAACTTCGGGTATTGCAGCGGGAGAAGATAGTTGCGGCCACGGCATCTCAGTAACTGGATTTGGATTACACATAGGAGCAAAAACCACTTCAGAACCAGGGTAGTCCTCCTTGATTTGTTTGTAGGAGTCAAGCAACTTCTTGAAGATAGAACTAGAGGAGCCAAAGTAAAGGAGGATGTTCCTGTTCTTGAGGCCTGAAACTTTCAAGTGAGAAGAACCTCGTTTGCGTCCCTTGCAGGAAAGAAACGACTCCAGGGTGAGTGACCTTAAAGCCGAAAGCTTGTCATCTAACCATTTATTTCAAGTGACGGGATATAAGTTTCTTGAGCCATACCACTCCATAAGAGCTAATCCACTTAGCTCACCAGAACGCCCACCACCGACCCAAATGATTTGCAAGCTTCTATCCCCAGAAGCTTGCAAATCGAGTCCCGGGTCAAGGAGTCCGAAAAGGGCACAACCAGGCAAGGAAAAGCAGAAAAAAACCAATCGAAAGCAGGTTCCTCTTGTTCCTTGGAGATAAACGAGGATCTCATCTTAGCCACCATCACCATCTCGAAATTTATATTTTTCTTCTTCAAGGCATTGTAAGTTGCTATCAAGGCGAGGCATCCACGGTGAGGAGGGTCTTCAGAAAACATAGGCACGAAGAAGCAACAAACAACCAAATACTTACCGGAAATCGCATTGATTAAACCAACTCTTTCACCATTGTTACGGACCAGGGAATTCGTCTTACCGCCATTAGATAACAAGGAAAACACATCAACCGGCAATTTTTCGCCTTTCTTAATGTTAAGAGGCTTGATCTCCTCCATAAATACTTCTTCCGGAAACTCGAAAAGGGTATGAGGTTCACCAGTAGTAAAATCAGGGCTGATGGTATTTACTGGAGAAGGTAAATAGTTTTCGGAGTCGAATAGCGAATACGGGCGTCCTGCTCTCTTAAGCAGAGGTCCGCAGACGCAGGCGTCGTAGCTGCATCTCTTCAAAGTCCAACCCTCCTCCTCCTTTTTGCCGCCTCCGTCGCTGCATCTCTTCAAACTCCAGCCCATAAATATTTTTTTATGGCGATGGCAATGGCCGGGGTTTTTGAGACGGGTCTTTCTACCGTACCTTTGCGTAGTTGGGCCAATAAACATTTCGCACGTGTATATTTATTCACATCGAAAAATAAGGATTACTTTATTTGCACTTGAGTCCTTTAGCTTTATCAAATAAGATGTCTGTTTTTCTACGGTGCCGCAAGTCCGCAACCTGTTTTGTCGAACGAGAACACAAGGCCGCCGCAAAGGTTTATATTCACGGACAAAGGATGTTTTATTTGGATTATTTCCGTTCTAGACCAAACCAGACTTAAATACATCAGACCAGATTTAAATAGATCAGATCAGATCATACTTTCAAAGTTATAAAATACACAAAGACCAGACGTTTACCACACCAGACCAGATCAGGCCAGACCAGACTTAAACAGACCAGACTAGCAAAGTTCTATAAAAAAAACATCCAAACTCAATAGTTAATGTGAAATTGATATTTTAACGGTTTATTATTCATTGTATCCGGTTTAGATAATACTATCGTGTTAAGGGACAGATCCAGAAATGAGGAGTGAGGTGGACAAAGCAGTAAAAAATTGTTATTGCTTAGGGTTGTTATCCAACCGATCTTTTTTCAAACTACTCAAGTTTGAGCTTAACGAGCTTCGAAATCATACATGAGCTAGATTTTGAGTTCGACTAATTATTCAAGCCAAGTTCGAGTATAGTAATGTTCGGTTCGATCGAACTCGAGCCTATCGATAACTCACACATTATCGCCAATTGCTCGATTCAGATAACTATGCTCCGCCCCTTTCGTATTTATTTAGCCATCGTTTCATGACTTTCATCATCTTATTGATATTTTTTCATACTTCAACCAGCATTACATTCACTAATTTTTTTCCTTCTGCAAATTTTTATGTATTTATCATTGAAAATACAATCAATAAAATCATATGTTGTGAAAACCGGACGGGAGGGTGACCCGGACAGATGACTGGGTCACGGGTCAACCCGGACCCGGCGGGTCAACCCGGTCAACGATCGGTAGACCCGGTCAACAACAATACAAATAATTAATTTTAATTATATAAAAGATTTAATTCTTAAATAGAAATATTATATTCCTTCTTAATTTAATAATAATAATACAATATAAGCAATTAAAAAAAACTATTTCATTTAAGTAGATTGATTTTAAAAAAATTAAAAAACATTGAAATTTAGATGGATAATAAATATGAACATAATACCAATTACAAAATATTTACAAAAAAATTGTAAGATTGTATACATAAACAGGAAGTATAATAAAAGCATTTATGTGCATTTATTAGTATTTATTATAAATTAATTAATTAATAAGCAAATTATTTAAGCTTAATTAAAATATTCATGTCAAATAAGCTATAAGTATACCGAAACAACCTAAGACAAAAACTACCTAGTGTAGCAGGTTGGTCGATAGTCCTTAAATCATAGCGCATGGCGCGAGTTCTAATCCTGTAGGCGTAGTCTTCTCCGGGTTTTAATTATTTTCCGGGTTTGGGTCGGTTCGGGTCCATCATGGGTTTAAACGGGTCACCGGTTAAATCCGGTTTTGGCCATGTTTCCGGTTGGATGTTCAACCGGACCGGACACAAGGCCGGGTGACCGGGTTCCGGGTCGAACTGGCCGGTCCGGTTCGGGTCTTACAACATAGATAAAATCTATGCTTGTGGTTTTCCTAAATTTGAAAATTGATTTATTCCAAATAAAGGAAACCCAAGTGACAGCATGTTTCTACATAGAATTTAGTGCTTGTAGTTTTCTTGACTAGTGACTAACGTAACTGACTACTCCCTCCGTCCCCTTAAGTTTGTCCCGTTTTACCTTTTTCGTCCGTCCCACTAAGTTTGTCCCATACCATATTTGGAAACATTTGAGTGGTTAGAATTCATTCTTACTTTATTTACACTTTATCAATTCAATACCAACCACACAATTTCACTTTTTCTTAAAAACCACACCACACCCCTCCGTCCCAAACTTAGGGGGACGGAGGGAGTATCATATAAGGAGTAAAAAATTTAGTGTTAATTGTTCTTGTGCAAAATTGCAAACAACACACCTTTAAAATGATAAGTTGTTATATAAGATGACTGTGGCACACTGGCACTGGCCTGTGGGTGATGGTGGGCTAGAGATCGGACGAATTAAATGGAGATCAGATTTATACTTATCTCATTTCTTAAAAAAAAAAAAGATTTATACTTATCTCCCTCGTACTTAACAAGAAGGTGAATGAATTATCATTGAGGAAACCTGCGATCATTTGTCATTTATGAGGTCTTTACTACTAAATTCACAATTATCTATTTTACTTATCTATTCTGGTGCGTCTATTTAACTTCGCTGATAAGTGTTTGGTGTATGTATATTTTACTTATCTATTTTGATCTGATCAAGCCTATTCTATTTAAATTAAATTGATTTGATCTAGTTTTTTTTTAATTTGGTCTCGTCTAGCTTATAATGAGAACATTCCAATCAAAATATCGTAAACGTTCTAATATGTGTTAACTGAAATCCCGCCAATTATATATTATTATTATTATTAGGAAAAAATCCAGTTTTGGTCCCCTGAATATTATGTCACTTCCACATTTCTCTATTGACTTTCAATTTAATAACATTTTCCCCTTCACCACCCGTCGTCCTTCCGACCACAACTCTGGTACATTTTAACCGCAAAGCCACTTGCGGAGAAATAATAGGTCAAAATGTTAAAGTTAAGTTAACAAAATGTACGCATTAAGTCAAGTTAATTTAAAATGTAGCCGTTTTAACAATATACATTTACTAAAACGCCCTTAATATTTCTCCGTAAATGACTTTCCGGTTAAGACATCTAGGTTACGGGAATACCGTTGGTGTTCGATCGAGAGGAAGTTGCTTTTCAATGGATGGAGGTTAATTCTAAAGGTAGGGATCGCCAATTCCGCTTTTCTTAGCGAGGAAAACGCCTCTCTCATGATAAAAACTTTTGACACGCCTCATATGTTACTACTCCGTATATACTACGTTCCTTCTCTTTTAATTGCAACATTGAATTTTTTGCACTATTCACATATTTTACTTTGATTATAATTTATTTATTAATGTACTATTGATTAATTTTTTGAAAAATAATTTTTGAATTCCTCTCATTTTAAAATATCAAAATACAATTTTTTATTTTTTTTATTGATAAGGAACGAAAGTAATTGACGATTAAACTTGTATGTTGACAAACGTGAAAATTGGAATATTATAATAAAAAAAGAATACAAAGTAGCTCACAAAGGAAGGTGAAAAATCTGACCCAACTTCCCGCCAAAAGATACGGGTGGAGAATAGCTTAAAACGGGTCAACCCAGTCAAAGTAATCATGCTATGCTACGTGAATCTCGAAAAAGTTTGTCATGTGACTTCTGTATTGTGAAAAGCCTTCTGAAAAGAGAAAAAATGAATACGAAGTACAGGACTAGAGCAGTAGCCAGTAGGAGAGTGGCCGGACTTCTGAATAGGGAAGCTTGGTAATACTCCGTATTTAATAAGCTGAACTTCATACCTTCCCATACTTCTATCAGTACGTTTAAAAGCGTAAAGGAGAGAGAGAATTAGAGAGACATTGCGATTGGCAGTGGATGGCCTCAGGCTGTGGAACAGGGCAGTAGGCGAGTGGCCCGCCCGCCGGAGCAGGAGTATTGGGCTGTGAGCGATGCCGCCGACTCGGCTGGGGCGCTTGGGAGAGTAGGTTTGCTGCCGGCAGACGCAGGCGGCAGTCCATGAGGCGAGTGGGGGACTGGCCGACTACGTGTTTCTGGATCTGGCTCTGCAACTTGCGGATTTCCAGAAGAAGAAGACTGGTTTCTCCTGATTTTGGGACTTTATTATGTATTTGCGTAAGGCCAGGTTCATCTACCGGAAGCTCCAAAATCAACCAAACGTGTAGTAATTCAGATCTGAGGAAGCCGAGTCGACATTTCTGGATCAACTCTTCGACTTCCTGTCTTATGGGATCCAAGAACGGCAGAAGTGTGGAACCCGCCGCCAAGTCGTTGACTCCCTTCAGCACGCAGCACGGCATCACCGCCATTTCACCGGGCGCCAGCACCCCTCGTCAGGCATCGCCTTCTCGCCTCAATGTTTACCCTTCCGTAGTTCCGGTATTCTTACAGTCGTTCTTTCGTCATAGACATATAATTAAATTAATGATATTGTTGCTTGTTGAAACCTCATAAAATCCTGATAGGTAACTTACTACTTTCACAATGTTTTTTTTTTTTAAAAATAATTATCATAAGATCTACAAAGTTAGCTTTTGATTCATTCACATGCATCACGAGCAGAGCAGGATGCACGACACAGAGAAGAGCAGAACAAGCCACAAGTTTTCTGAGCTCTTCTGGCTAATGAATATGTTTGAGCTTTGAACTGCCAACAAGGATGTTTCCGGCTACGACTAGGGGTATACGCAATCGCACCACACGTTGGTGACTCCCCACAAACTGTTCAGTGAAGGAGAAAAAAAATAGTTCAACAAGTATTGGAATCCCAATCTCTCAAATTTCACATATACTCATGAGATTTGATAACAGGGTTCGGCAGTGTATTTTTCTTGTGAAATCCTATCAAATCCTAATCTATAAAACAATCCAGAGTTTTGTTCAAGTGTTAAATACACCAGGACTCTCCAAATTTCCTAATTGAATACCTCAAGACTTTTAAAATATTTTATAGAAAAGTGTCAAATAAGACATTCTACTATTATGAAATCGTCACATAAGACCATATACTCAATAAAGTGTTATATAAATACATCTACTTATAAAAAACAATCGGCCGTGTCCTAATGATCCATTGACAACCTCTTAATCACGACTTTAGCTCACATGTCGTTATTTTTATCTTGTATTTAAGTCAATCATGACTAAATATTCCACGTTAATCATATAATCTATTTTAAAAAGATAGCCAGACATACACTAAAATTGGAATTACAAGCTTGTCAAAAAGTCATTTTGACTCATTCGATTGTTTTTTATAAATAGACATATTTACATGACACTTTATTTAGTGCAAGATACGATTTCATTATAGTAGAAGGTCTTAATTGACCCTTTTCTCAATATTTCAAAATGCTTCAATTAAATACACCCAAAAATCCTAAAATGTCTTTAAAATTCCAAAAGAATAGACAGCCCTAATACTCCAATATACGTAGTATATAGTTTGGGCTTTTTTGGTCCGAGCTATGAAGTAATGAGCTTCACTTCCATATAGGGGATTTCTATATACATCCCCCAAATTACTAAACACAACCACTCAATCAAATAGAATTAAATAATAACCATTGTATATCTAAATTACCCTTACTACTAGTTAACGATCGTTTAAACTAGACACGTAGGAAAACTCATGTTCGTCACTACCACAGATCGGAAAAGACGCAGAAAAACCCCTAGGAAGGTGCAGGGTGCCCCTGGGAAGCTCAAGCATGAAGAACTGAAGGCAACAACAGAAAGAAATCCAGCAATTTATACCCTTCTTCCGTTACACGTGAGACCAATTCAATAGGTTTTCAACATCTTCATTTAGATTATTGCATAGAAATCGGAGAACAATCGCGCAATGATGTGCAATGCCAAAACTGTGCTATCTTAAGAACACTTCTGGTAGATCGTTCTGCATGAAACATTGAAAAGAAACAAATATATATTGAATTACGCACCAAGTTGTGTTGTAATTGCTAAGAGAAACATATATATAAAGAGAAATCATCTCATCAGGCCGGCCTGACGGGCTGCCCCGTCCGGCCGAGCCCGTTTGGGCACCTTCCCGGTGGAATTTTTTGATGAAATTTTTTGAGCATGTTCCTCATCAAGTCTAGTTTGTCCATACCAAATTTCAGCTCAAAATTCGATCGGGAAGGTCGTCAAATGATTTTTGCAAGTTAACTGGTCCGGAATATGTATTTTCCGGACCAGTTAACTTGCAAAAATCATTTGACGACCTTCCCGATCGAATTTTGAGCTGAAATTTGGTATGGACAAACTAGACTTGATGAGGAACATGCTCAAAAAATTTCATCAAAAAATTCCACCGGGAAGGTGCCCAAACGGGCTCGGCCGGACGGGGCAGCCCGTCAGGCCGGCCTGATGAGAAGAGTACTCCATATATATATATATATATATATATATATATATATATATATATATATATATATATATATATATATATATATATATATATATATATATATATATATATATATATATATATATATATATATTGAATAAAACATAAAATTGTGGTAATAGGGGGAAATCGCCAAAACTAATACTCCCTCCGTCCCGCTATGATTGTCCCATTTTACTATTTCGGTCCGTCCCACTAAGATTGTCCCATACCTTATTTGGTAAAGTTTGTGTGGTTCTAAATCATTCCTACTTTATTTTTACTTTATCAATTCAATATCAACCACATAAATCCACCTTTATTAATAAATGTGCCACCTTCTCTTGTCACAAACATAGGGGGACGGAGGTAGTATGATATAGATATGCATATTATAGTGTATTTATAATTTGTATTATGTTTAATTAGGCTACACTTGAGACCATGCGGTTTGACTCATTTAGGAACACATTAAAATATGAAAACTCAGGCCATCCCATTAAAATATGAACATACATGTATAATGAATAAGGAAAACAGAAAGTAGTGTGTTGATTTATGAGTCACTTTTCAAAGCACATATCAAGTAGCATATTTTAGGCCAAGAGAAAAACTACAATATCATTTCAAACAACCCATTTTTTCTTTATTTAACTCATTATATTCGAGTATTAAAGAAATACAACTATTAAAATTATTTGTAGCTTAATTCAAGCCCAAATTTGTTAATTGTATAATCAAATATTATTATAATTTTTTACATCTTGTTCATCGGGTTAATGCAAAAATAGAATATATCCATATATTAAACTTACAACCATGTTGTGGTAATGGATTTTATAGGTTTTATCGTGTTCCTACATGAACTCTTCTCTAAATATAAAAATGGAGAATGGGGAGCAAATGGTTTGCCATGAACAAGGAAAGGATAGTGATACACAAGAAATCGATGAATCAGAGGTAAACTATTTAATTTTGAAATTCATGTTAATTTGATAATCGTTCTAACTAGGTTCTGTTGCGTGGTATATAGAAGTTAAATTGTGAAGATCAGCCAGATTCACTCAATTCCTATGGAGCATTTTACACAGATAAAGTAATTAAAAATGCAATAGTTTGTAACCAAGTGAGAAATATCGGCGTAAGCAACAGTTTGAGGTTGTGATCATAAACCTATCCTACTTTTCTGATGAGTCTTCGCACTCTGAAGCATTCAAGTTGGCATTGAAAGAGAACGGTATATCGTCTTGGTGCCTTGGTGGGAGCTGCCCTTTTTGACCATGTTAGCCGAAGGCTTTACGAAATTGTTAATGTTCATATGAAGATGATGTAATCATTTGGGCCGGTGGTGGGCGTTCTGGTGAGCTAAGTGGACGGGCTCTTATGGAGTGGAGGGGCTCAAGGAACTTATATCCTGTCACTAGAAAGGTAACCTATCCTGTCACACCACCTCCACCACCACTCCCACTAGCCCCACCATCACCACCACTCTCACTCCCACTAGCACCACCCTCACCAGCACCACCACTCCCACTCCAACTCTCACTAGTGGTACCACACCTGCCCCGAATGAAAAAAAACCAAAATTTCCCCCTTTGAAGGAAAGTCCTCTACGCCTTCTCCTTTTATCCTCTTGTGGTTTTCACTACAAATTTCACGAGTTATAAAATCAAATTTTATGAAAATCTCTTTTAAAACTAGTTCCCCGTCACTCTTCTTCCTCTTATTAGCCTTTCGCCTCATTCTCTTCTCCTTCTTCTTCCTTTTTCTCATGCCTTTTATCATTTCTTCCACATGATCCTCCTTTTTTTTCCCTCTTTCTCTTCTCCCCCCACCCCTAAAATGGGATTCACAGTAGCCCCGAGCACTTTTTTAAAATATTTGCTTAAAATAAGATGGACAGAGGAAGCTTGAATACCCACAAAGTCAGGAAATTTTTAGAAGCAGTAGGATTGTGGTTTTTGCATTTTCTTTGGAGGTATTTTAGTATACCCTCCCCACCCACTTTATGAAACAGGTCTAAAGCTGTTTAAAAAAATGTTATGGGCTGATAGTGGGTGAAAATTATATGGTTTCGAAAATTCCTAGAAAGTATATCTGACATTTGTTTCTTCTCGATCTTTCTATGAGGCAAGTATTTAAAAAGTTCATTACGTAGATCTGCAGGTAAGGCGGATACTTTGAACTGTGGAATATGATGTTTATCCAAACTGCTAGATCCACAAGGTTGATACACAGTGTGTATCTTACTCAAATGTGGGTCATCCAACCATTGCTCAGAGGAAACTGCTTTTGCAACATATAAACTACTGGGAAATCTAATGGCAAGAGAATAAATACGTTTATGAGGGTTGGTAGGAAGTGGCGCAGGAATATAACCTTGAATAGAAGCATCTCATTTCTTTCTTTTTTCTTTCTTTCTATCTTTCTCTTAGCCCTTTTATTAGCTTCCTTTGTCTCCCGGTTATCCCTTTTTCTCTTTGTCATTTTGGAAAGCAAGTTAATACAGTGATCAAGAACGACGAGTCGACGAGAATGGAGTCGGGGAGTTGGCGATTTTGGGCGTAGGTTGATCGCTGTAGTTAGGCGCATGATTTTGGTTTGGATTGTAACACTATTGTTTTTGGGCCATTCAAAAATCCGGCCTTGTATAGTTGGACTGGGCAGCCTTGCCCTTGGCCGACCCTGAGTATTAGAGAATACACGAAGAAGAGCAGCCGTTAGAACATAGACCTGCACAAAATTGGGTCGGCCTGCCTAGCCCGCCCGCACAAAGGGCCGGTGTGTAAATATATATGCTCAAGCCCGCCCCTTTGTGCGGGCGGGCTAGGCAGGCCGACCCAATTTTGTGCAGGTTTATGTTCTATGGATTGCTCTTCTTCGTGTATTCTCTAATACTCAGGGCCGGCCAAGAGCAAGGCTGCCGAGTCCAACTATACACGGCCAGATTTTTGAATGGCCCAAAAAAAAATTAGTGTTACAATCCAACCCAAAATCATGCGCCTAACTACAGCGATCAACCTGCGCTCAAAATCGCCAACTCCCCGATTCCATTCTCGTCGTTCTCGATCACTGTATTAACGTATTTCGCAAAATGACAAAGAGAAAAAGAGATAACCGAGAGACGAAAGAAGCTAATAAAAGGGCTAAGAGAGAAAGAAATGAGAATACAATGGAAGTTGAAGATGCTTCTATTTAAGGTTTTATTCCTGCGCCACTTCCTACCAACCCTCATAAACGTATTTATTCTCTTGCCATTAGATTTCCCAGTAGTTTATATGTTGTAGAAGCAGTTTTCCCTGAGCAATAGTTGGATGACCCACATTTGAGTAAGATACACACGGTGTATCAACCTTGTGGAGCTAGCAGTTTGGATAAACATCATATTCCACAGGTCAAAGTATCCGCCTTACCTGCAGATCTCCGTAGTGAACTTTTTAAATATTTGCCTCATAGAAAGATCGAGAAGAAACAAATGTCAGATATACTTTCTAGGAATTTTCGAAACCATATAATTTTCACCCACTATCAGCCCATAACATTTTTTAAAACAGCTTTAGACCTGTTTCATAAAGTGGGTAGGGAGGGTATACTAAAATACCTCCAAAGAAAATGCAAAAACCACAATCCTACTGCTTCTAAAAAAATTCCTGATTTTGTGGGTATTCAAGCTTCCTCTGTCCATCTTATTTTAAGAAAGTGTTCGGGGCTACTGTGAATCCCATTTTAAGGGTGGGGATAAGAGAAAAAAAAAAGAGGGAGGATCATGTGGAAGAAACGATAAAAGACATAACAAAAAGGAAGAAGGGGAAGAGAATGAGACGAAAGACTAATAAGAGGAAGAAGAGTGACGGGAAACTAGTTTTAAAAGAGATTTTAATAAAATTTGATTTTATAACTCGCGAAATTTGTAGTGAAAACCACAAGTGGATAAAAGGAGAAGGCGTAGAAGACTTTCCTTCAAAGAGGCAATTTTTTTTTTCATTCGGGCAGGTGTGGTACCACTAGTGGGAGTGGTGGTGCCGGTGAGGGTGGTGCTAGTGGGGTGAGAGTGGTGGGGCTAGTGGGAGTGGTGGAGGTGGTGTGAGCAGGAATAGAAGCGGTGAGGGCGGTAGAGGAGTGAGGGTGACAGAGGTTGGAGAGGCAGTTGGCCTAGAAGGGGTTATGGTCATGGTAGGGGGCGAAGGTCGCAGAGGCTAGATGGGCAGTATGGAGCTCCTTTTAGGGAGGAGGATTGGGCTGATGATGAATTTGTGAAAATTACTACTAAGTTTGACATTGTGCCTGTTGATCACAATGTGGACGAAGTTCCTCCTGCAGATAGCTGTAGAAACGCGCAGGTAGATCCCTCATTGGTTGATGTTGAGGAGCTTTTGAACAACACAGTTGATGATCAGGCACCATTGCCAGTAAATCTTGATGGCTTTGAACTGGCACTAACTCAGGTGTGAACTTGTTTCTTGTGCGATTTTACATCCAGTTTCGTAAATCTTGATGGCTTTTGTGCTAATTTCGCAGAGGCTGCTAGTTTGTTACATTAATGCCACCTATTTTGAATAAGCAGAAAGATGTGGATTTTAATTTTCTCAAGTTATTACTTCTGTTTTTAAATATATACGAATCTTTAGCTTCATAATGACCAACTTTTTTTGTGTTATTTTAATTTCAGTTTCTTGGAGAAGAAGAGACACGTAGCACTGTTGTTAATGGATCCATTGAGGATCTGGTATATTCTGAGCCTTTAATGATGTATTATCCAGGCTCTCAACAAGACAAGTTGGATTCAAGCTTTATTGCTAAGCAGTCGTGGGGTGCAACTGAGGCAGCTTCTACTGTACGGTCTGAATTCACTCGGTATCCAGAGCTCTTAAATCTTCAGTTTACTGATGAAGATATTCTTGAGATGGATGATCTTGGCACAGGGCCTGTGCAGTTTCCCCCAGCAAGTGACAGGATCTCAGGGAATGCCCAGCTGAGAGAGCATGATGGGTTTGATATGTTTAATGACTCTGACCTCTTCCTTGGTGATTTTACATCTAATAATCAAATAGTAAATCCATCTCAGCATCAAAGGCTGCTGGAAAATGGTTTTGTTGGCCAATCCCCAAATTCTGTACATACTTCTGGGAATGAGATGTGGAACTTCGGAGCAAAAAATTGTTTTCACAACTCCACAGAGAGATACAAAGGAACTATGCCTTTACCAGTGACAGGTACATACTTGCAGTTTCAATGCTGATTCTTCTGCAGTTCTGCCTGCCCATGTGTGGAGCTTTATATTTTTCTGAGCGGCATTATTTCATCATATATATCGGTGAGTTGGATAGTTCCGATCTGCTGAATACAGATGAACTGATCTCCAAACTGGATACTGTATTTTTGTTTCTGTATTTGTGCATGTAAGTTTTTTTCACCATTCTAAATGTATTAATCCAGAAAATGTGGGGGGGGGGGGGTAATGGACTAATGGGTATGTTGTGTTTGACTTGGAGAAGGCAGCTTGTCTTTGGAAGGCTTTCCAACTCATTGATTTGATGTTTTTGCTAACATTAGATTTTCTGGGATTTCTATAAATATGCTGGTGTTTCTACAAATATCGCTTCCAACCATACCAGAATCAGAAGAGCAAACAGAATGAAGGGTCTCAAACATGGTTGGCTTTCACATTATGATCGTTTGTGGAAGCAGTACCTGCAGCCCCTCCATCAGCCGCTGAGAGCGTGATGGTTAAACCGAGGATGTCTAGTTTCAGTAGGGTAAGAAAATATTTTAAAAAGAATTGTTTTTTTCAGCAGGTGAGTTTTAAAGCCGTGCACCTGTTTATTGACATGAATTGTCTATGTTTTTCTAGTGTTAATAGAGTTTTAGTACTCGTATTTAGCTTCTCTTCATTTGCACGTGTTGTTTTCAATAGTGGCTTATTAGCTCGGTTTAAGTTAAAGTTTTCTTCGTTGGTGAGAAGTTCTAGGCAAAGAAGTTATTAGAACAGTAATTGCCTTTTCTAGACTTCTTTTTAAATGACGTGGCAACCATTTGTCTTTTCTTTCTCTTCTTCAGCCGTTCTCTTTTCTTTCTAGAAAAGACAATTACTGTTCTAATAACTTCTTTGCCTGGAACTTCTCACCAACGAAGAAAACTTTAACTTAAACCGAGCTAATAAGCCACTATTGAAAACAACACGTGCAAATGAAGAGAAGCTAAATACGAGTACTAAAACTCTATTAACACTAGAAAAACATAGACAATTCATGTCAATAAACAGGTGCAGGGCTTTAAAACTCACCTGCTGAAAAAAACAATTCTTTTTAAAATCAATTCTTATCCTATTGAAACTAGACATCCTCGGTTTAACCATCACGCTCTCAGCGGCTGATGGAGGGGCTGCAGGTACTGCTTCCACAAACGATCATAATGTGAAAGCCAACCATGTTTGAGACCCTTCATTCTGTTTGCTCTTCTGATCCTGGTATGGTTGGAAGCGATATTTTTAGAAACACCAGCATATTTGTAGAAATCCCAGAAAATCTAATGTTAGCAAAAACATCAAATTCAATGAGTTGGAAAGCCTTCTAAAGACAAGGTGCCTTCTCCAAGTCAAACACAACATACCCATTAGTCCGTTACCCCCCCCCTACATTTTCTGGATTAATACATTTAGAATGGTGAAAAAAACTTACATGCACAAATACAGAAAACAAAAAATACAGTATCCAGTTTGGAGATTAGTTCATCTGTATTCAGCAGATCGGAACTATCCAACTCACTGATATATATGATGAAATAATGCCGCTCAGAAAAATATAAAGCTCCACACATGGGCAGGCAGAACTGCAGAAGAATCAGCATTGAAACTGCAAGTATGTACCTGTCACTGGTAAAGGCATAGTTCCTTTGTATCCCTCTGTGGAGTTGTGAAAACAATTTTTTGCTCCGAAGTTCCACATCTCATTCCCAGAAGTAGGGATAGAATTTGGGGATTGGCCAACAAAACCATTTTCCAGCTGCCTTTGATGCTGAGATGGATTTATTATTAGATGTAAAATCACCAAGGAAGAGGTCAGAGTCATTAAACATATCAAACCCATCATGCTCTCTCAGCATATTCCTGGGAGTTAGGCACGTCGTGCCTGAAGAGAAATATTCCTGGGAGCTACTGGAGGCCAGGCATGGTCGTGCCTGGCAGTTAGGCACGCCGTGCCTGGACGCGAAATTCGGGCTTCTTCCGTAGGCACGGTCGTGCCTGGCCGCGATTGTTCCTAATTCGACCCGAATTCGTTGTTTTCTATAAATAAGGCCTCCATATCCACTTTTGAGAGTTACGAACTTTGGAGAGAGGCCTAGGGACGAGTTTTACCTGCGTTTTTACGTTGTTTAATCCAAGAACCTATGATTCTTTGTAAGTTCAATTCTTTAATTAATGTCAATTATTTCTATTCATCCCAATTCTTTTGATTTGTCAATTATGAGGCGTGAGTAGTTTAATTAGGGATTTGGGGTTGATGAAGGGGTTAATCATGATTGATGGCTAGATTCTTGTCGGTTTAATTGCATGAATGCCGTTTAATTTGTGTTTGAATAATTTAACTGATATCTCTTGTAACCTAGATGGCCACTAGAATTACAATTGCTTATAGAATAAATTAAGAGAGATCTAATTTGTTCTAGGACACATTCACACACACTTAATCGTTCGCTAAGAGATTAGTAGCGATTAAGGGGCCGTAAGCTCGCTCGTTTTGGCAATAATTTAGGATTTTGTCGCATGAGAGATCAGCCTGGACCCCTAAATTATTGTACTCTACGCCGCGCGCGCTAAGAACTTAGTAATGATTAGCTAGGCTCAATTGAATGAAATTCATGTGATTAGGCCTGTTCTGCCAGAAATCTGGTTAACCCCGGAATCAATTCTTGTTCCCTTCTTCGTTAATTAAGGAAAACCAAATCTTTTTACCTGCTTCTTAGCATTAGTTTTATTTTAATCAATCAACCAATCTCGCACAACATCCTTTAAATGAATAATCATTTTATAGGAGTATTTTTAGGGGAAAACACGCTTCCTCAAATTGACTCTCAAAACTCCGTTTTATGTCACTATGTTGACCTAATATTACACTCCATATCCTTGCTTAACGATTAACACTTCTCTATACTCAGTCATATACACCCAGCTCATCAATAATCAATTTACAACTCAAAATAATGAACTTGAGAACTTCCCAGAATAACTCAAATGACTACCTAGCATTACGGGTGGACTCGGGCCGGGCGGCCCGACCCGGAACCGGCCCGGCCCGGTTACTGTTTGGCCCGGCCCGGGGCCTGGTGGTCCCATCGGTTCGGTTCGGTTTGGCCCGGCCCGGGTGATGGGCGGTCCGGGCTCGGGCCCTGCTTTACGTGAACCGGCCTGGCCGGTTCGGGCCCGGTCCGGGCCGGATTTTTTTTTTTTTGAAATTTTTTAAGTTTTGGGTTGGATTAGGTATTTTAAGCCATTTGAGGTGGTTTGGGGTGGTTTGGGGTTGAGGGGGAGGAGTAGGGGGTTAAATAGGAGAACAAAAAAAAATGGACCGGTTTGGCCCGGCCTGGCCCGGTTTGACCCGGAACCGGAACCGGAATCGGCCACCGGCGGTTCGGGCTCGGGCCCTAGTTTTCTGGCCCGAGGCCCGGCCGGGCCCAGGCCCGAACCGGCCCGAGTCCACCCCTACCTAGCATCTTTGCACTTCCTCAAATCTATCAAGAGTAGTAATAAAATCAAGGGGGGATTTGTAATAAAATAATCAATTTGACTTTTTGGGTGATATTGGACTTTGCGCTCCATTTTCAAATTTTTTTGACATTGCACCCCTAACACATGCCATTTTGTAAAGAAACATTTCTAAATGGGGGCAAAGTCAAAAGAATTTTAAATGAAATAGGTGCAAAATCAAAGTTTTTCAAAATGGGGTGCAAAATCCAATATCACCCAAAAAATGTGGTGCAAAGTCAAATTCTAGTTCAGGTTTTAGTGTACAATTATGGTGGTTTTAATTGGGTTGGTTTTAATTCCAAATCAGATCAGACCAAATCAAACTTTGACAATTGTAAATAGGGATGGACCCGGGCCGGGCCGGTTCCGGTTCCGGGCCGGGCCCGGGCGGGCTTTTTTTCGGGTTACATGGGCCCGGAACCGGCCCGGGTTGATACCGGGTCCGGGCCTAACCGGGCCGGGCCGGGCCGGGCCCGGTTCAATGTTTTTTTTTTTTTTTTTTTTTTTTTTTTGACTTTCTTGTTATCTCCCTACCCCCCCCCCCTCACCCCCACGCCCCAAACCTCCCTAAAACACCCAGCCCTACCCTAGGAAAAGAAAAAAAATTGAAAAAACCAAAAAAAAAAAAAAAATGAACCGGGCCCGGCCCGAACCGCCCGGGCCGGTTCAACAAAAACAGGGCCCGGAACCGGCCCGCCCGACCCGCCAAAACGGGCTAAAAGCCCGGAACCGGCCAACCGGGCCCGGTCCGGTCCGGGCCCGCACAGTAGCGGGCCGGTCCGGTTCCGGGCCGGTTCGGCCCGACCCAGTCCATCCCTAATTGTAAACCACACATAAAATAGACATCTACCTAAACAGACCAAATCATCTTATACCAAATAAGACTAGACTTAAACATGTTAGATTAGATATTCTGACCACACCAATTTTTTTAGTCATATTAAAAACATTCTTAGTATCAGGTTGGATTCAATCTACATCTTTACTCCACACCAAAATGACGTTAGAAAGATCGAAGAATTTCCCAATCAAATGTAAGTTATGTAACATCATTGTGATTACCGTTCATCTCTCACACTGAAACAAGTTTATTTTTTTATTGAGAACATCCTAATGAAAAACATAGTGATCATTACGTGCAAGATTGATCACTTAGCTTATTATGATAGTATCCGTCAACAGTCCCAACACTAACTGAAAGTCTGAAACAAGTTTATTTTGTATGAGCCACTTTAGTAATTTTTTTTAAAATTCTAATAAATTGTTTTTAACTTCATTGCTTGCTTTATAACGAAAATCGATTACTTTTTTCTTTCGGGTGCATTGATTTTATTTTAATTTATTAGTCATTACTAATTAAATTTTAAAAATGTACTTTTGGTATTGTTATTATTTTATTATTATCATATTCCAATAAAATAGTTATACAAATAGTAGAGCAAATTAGTTGGTAAATTTGGTTATTCATGCATGAGCTAGCTATTAGGCTATTATTATATGTCGTATTTGTAGTAATTTTGCAGGGTAAAAAGTAGCAATGAGTTGATTTTCTTTTTTGTGAGGGGGGAGGAGAATGGTACAATACAACAATAAAATTCATGTATAAAAGTCTTTCAAAATGATTAATTTCATTTTACAGCTGTTTTTTTTATCGTATTTCATTTTACAGCTTATGAGTCATACTTCACATATCCACATTTTCATTAACTAGATTTTTCACCAGTGCTTCAATTGGCACGTAGGGCTGGACTTGGGCCGGTCGGACCGAACCGGAACCGGCCCGGACCGGTACTGTTTGTACCCGGCCCGGCCCAGAAACTGGTTTGGCTGTCGGTTCGGGCCTACCTGACCCAGTAGGCAGGCGGTCCGGGCTCGGGTCCTGCAAATGATGAATCGGCCCGGCCGTTGGGAATAATCCCAAACGGCTCTATGCCTCTATAGCCGTTGGAGGGCTAGGAGGGGGGGTCCGGGGGGTTTGGGGGATACCGAAAAATCCTATTCATATTCCTATTTTCTATACATTATATTTTTGACACCATATTTATACAATCCTACTCTCTAATTCTCTATTCTCTCATACTCAATAACTCAATCATCTCCATCTTCATCTTCTCCCAATCTCTCTCTCTCTCTCTCTCTGTATATATATATATATATATATATATATATATATATATAATTATTATTATTATATTTACTTATATATTAATTATCTACTTATATACATATATTATATTACTAATATTTATTATCTACTTGATATATACTTATTGTCTTTTTATTATTTACTTTGATATCTACTTATTATCTATATTTATTATTATTTACTTTTATATATATATATATATATATATATATATATATATATATACACACACATATTAAAGTATTAGATATAAGTGTATTACTCATCTTATAGTAATATACTTATATATTATATACTATAAACATTATATTATAGTGTTGAGGTTTATTCCTTCAACCTTTGGGTCCAACACGTAAGTCCAAAGATTTCGAGTGGAGTGGTGTATGTGTGTGAATAAACTAGTCCAACAAGCAAATAAGATGGATCAAGAGACAATAAATAGCAAGTAAGAGATTATGTATTATTAATCAGTTAACAACTCCCCAATACAATACGCTTGCTAAGGCTCGTTGGCCGTACGTCTTACAAGGCAGTAGAAGAGCTGCGAGTAAGAGCTAAATATTAGCTAGAGTGCTCAGGCTGATTAGTTGTCAACCCTTTATAATGAAATAAATACTATTATTTATACCACCAATGGGCAGTTGGCTATGCTGATGTGGAGGGCTGTGGGTGGTTGATATCCCAACCACCAAATCTACAGAATTAAATGCGCTTTCCGCCAGAATCTGGATTTCCCGCCTAACTTGTGGAGACGGACGTCCAGTTGGATCTGGGGCCTGCTCCTAGTGATGCTGCGAAGGGTTGCGGGCCGCTCGTATTTGGGCCCTTGGTAGAATTCGTTACGTTGCTCCTAATGGATCCTTGTTGGTGCGGACCACGGGTGGCGACGTTCGTCGCCCAGTACTTCATCTCATGGGCTAAGTGCTCATTGGATCAAGCACTTTCATCAGTTTCATGGGCCGGACGTTCGTCCGATATAAGAGTAATGGGCCTACATTCTATTTGGGCCATTTACCCAACAGTTATACAATTATATTACTTACACTTGAATTCATAGTAATTAAATTTATCATATTAGTTAATTTTTACATTTCTCATTATCCTAATTTAGTTAATTAATACTTGTCTCATTTTTTCTATTACTTACATTTTTTAATTGTTACATTTATCATTAAAGTATAAAACTAGTTAATTGTTACATTTTTCATTAAAGTATAAAACTAGTTAATTGTTACATTTTTCATTTCCCTATTATTTAATTTGTTAATTGTTGCATTTATCATTAAAGTATAAAACTAGTTAATTGTTACATTTTTCATTAAAGTATAAAACTAGTTAATTGTTACATTTTTCATTTCCCTATTAGTTAATTTGTTAATTATTGCATTTATCATTAAAGTATAAAACTAGTTAATGTTACATTTTTCATTTCCCTATTAGTTAATTTGTTAATTGTTGCATTTATCATTAAAGTATAAAACTAGTTAATTGTTACATTTTTCATTAAAGTATAAAACTAGTTAATTGTTACATTTTTCATTTCCCTATTAGTTAATTTGTTAATTTTTTCATTTATCATTAAAGTATAAAACTAGTTAATTGTTACATTTTTCATTAAAGTATAAAACTAGTTAATTGTTACATTTTAATAAATTACTTGTTATTTTAATAAACACACTTGTTATTTTAATACACACTCAAAGTATTCAAATTTCGTTACTCCTATTTAAATAAATTAAATACACTTGTAATTTTATAAAGTACTTGGAAATTTGTTATAATTTTATTAGTCGCATTTTATTATTACTATTGTACTCATATTAAAATATTTGATATAATTTTATATTTGTTACATTTTAAAGATTGACCGTGGTATACATTCTGTAGATATGGGTAATCTTCAACGCAACCGAAAGAAGTAGATTGCGACAACTCATCCTAGTTTATGCAAAGGCAAAGGTAAAGGGCGGACCGGGTCTTCTTCTCAAAGTCGAGAAGATTTTCAAACGGAATACCAACGGCGAGATGGGGATGCGATGTCTGACAAACAACTACAACAACTATTGGCGCAAAATGATGGACGCT